AAGAAGAAGAAGAAGAAGAAGAAGAAGAAGAAGAAGAAGAAGAAGAAGAAGAAGAAGAAGAAGAAGAAGAAGAAGAAGAAGAAGAAGAAGAAGAAGAAGAAGAAGAAGAAGAAGAAGAAGAAGAAGAAGAAGAAGAAGAAGAAGAAGAAGAAGAAGAAGAAGAAGAAGAAGAAGAAGAAGAAGAAGAAGAAGAAGTTGGGACCCTGGAGGTCTTCTTGTCCAGCCCCCTGCTCAGGCAGGAAGCCCTATACCATTTCAGACAAATGGCTGTTCTGTCTCTTTTTAAAAACCTCCAGTGTTGGAGCATTCAGCACTTCTGGAGGCAGGTTGTTGTTCCACTGGTTAATTGTTCTATTCAGAACAATGCCATTGTTCTATTCAGAACAATGCCATTATTTCTATTCAGAAATAATGCCTAGCATTATTTCATGTTCTCTCTTACACTTGAATAAGAAAATGCTACTCAAGTGTTTACTTTTTTCTTAAATATTTTTTCTAAATATTGTACAGCAGACATGTCAAACTCGCGACGTCATGTGATGTCGCATGATGTATCGGAGCTTTTTCCCCATAGCCAGCAATGGGGTGGGCGCGGTTACCTCGTGACGCATGCAGCCCACGGGCCGGCAGTTTGACACCCCTGTTGTACAGTGTATAGGTTGTCTACCTATACATCATTATAAAGAACAATACTTTGCATTCAAAATTTTCTCGAGGAAAATTGTGTGCAATTCTACCTTCGCATTCAGGAATGTTGCAAAAATCATATCTGGTTTCAGGATCTGTTGTATAGCACCAGGGACCTTTCTCATCATGATCCGGATTTCTGCAGTAGTTTTCTTCTAATGAAGCATTAGGGTGAAGAAACGGTGTATAACTAATAAAAACAAAAGACAAGACTATTGTTACATAAGTCATACTTTTTTTTTCTTAGAGATTCAAAAGATTAAGTTATATTAGATAACCTTGTGACTCATTTAATCATCCTTTGGGAGAAAGGTAGTGAAGTCTAATTTGACCAGAATGAACATTAATTTTTTTTATGGCATTGCTATCGCTTTGCTTTGAAAACTAAAGAAGAAAACATCATTTTATTAAAGAAGAAAGACCTAAACAGATAAACAGAATGATCACAGGCAGGCAAAAAAGTAGCCAGAGTGGGGGCAACTTCTGACTTCCTTTAGGCTTTCCTACTGACTTTTCTTGGGGGAAGCTGACAGTGAGCATCATAAATCATGATCATATGACCCCAGAGATGCTGCAATGGCCACACCTTTGCAAATAAAACTGATCTGAATGTGGATGTTTCAATTTCACTGGAGTAAATGGGTCCTAGATTTTTTACATATTCTTTGAATAACATTAGGGTTAGACAAAGAAATGTTAACAGGACACAGTCAATAAGTGTTTAACTTATTAAGGCTTCCAATACTCTAAACAGGGGAGGACACTAGAGTTGAAGTTGCTCACCTTTTCCTCATCCCAACTAGGGGAAAGGAGGGGAAAGTTTTAAGGGAAAGACAGCTGCCTCTCTTTGGAGACTTCACGTACGTAACAGCATTTATTTCTTGCTTATACTATTGCTTTCACCAATATTCTACATAGGTAATTGCAGCATGCTACCTGGGGAATTCTGAGAGTTGAAGTCCACACATCTTAAATTTGCCAAGTTTGAAAAGGACTGAATTATACCATATACCACTGTTGATATATCTCTCCAATTGTCCTCCAAGTCAAACTTCAGTAAGTACTGTCTTGCAACTTTTAACTACTTGGAACAATGTCATTTAACAACAGCAACAACCTCAACAACAACATCATGCTCATCCACTGTATGAAGTTCTCCTGGCAATGATTCAGAAATGGTTTTCGCTTTTTTTCAAAATCAGAAAGAATTGGCCAGAAACCATTTTTCACGATGATAATTTTGTAATAAATGAATAAGAGAGCGATAAAAATTTTAAAAAGTATTTTAAAAGGTATTGAACATGTACTAATTCAAAACCTTTGGGGACAGTTTTAAAAAAAAACCAGTAACAGCTACTTCATACAGCTGGAGTTCAGATATATTAACATTTAACCATATTTTCTGCAGCATGTGGGAATAGAGAGAAGTCAATGGAAATTCTAGTTGAGGCAAACTAATATGCTTCACTGTATTCTATGCACTTCCAGAAAACTGTCTGTTCAGTAAACCTGCTCTTATTAATGGGACAAGAAAGCAAATCCTAGAGTCGCCTCAGCAAGATGGGTGGCTTACAAGCTTAATTACAAAATAATTTTTTAAAATCTCTATTCAGAAGACCCTGTTGAATTCAATATAGATAGTTCCTTTCAGATAAGCAAGCAGAAGATTGCAGCCTTAGCCATGGCTCATTTTTGCTGAATTGTGCTATACACATTTCCTACAAAAATTCAGGTCAAATCATTCTAAATTCATATGGCTATAGAAAATCGAAGGCCGTTTTACTGAGATAGGAAAAGGTCATACTTGGGTCTATGTGGACTCTTCTCGGTCCATTTCTGACATAGTACACCATTCTGTGTTTTTGATTCAGTTCCTCTGTAGTCCACTCCATTTCCAATTCTGCATTCCAGGAGATACACTGAAAGAAAATGTGGTTATTAAAAATCGCTATTGTTATCACTGAGCACCCTTCCACCAAAGAAACATCACTGTTTACAGATGGACTTCCACCCAGGTGTGATCAGGTTGAACACTTTAATATGTGGCCTTCACATTCAGTTTAATTAGGCAATCACAACCTGAGATCATGGAATTGCAAACCTTGGATTACAAGCAAATGTTTAACAAACTTAATTTAAAAGGTAAAGATTCTCTCAAGCTGAGCTTGGTTTTTAAGGACCACATGGCTACAACATGAAAGAAGTATGTCATTACCTTCTTCTGCTTTTTTTTTTTAATTTGCCAATCGAGATCGCAATCCAAAGATTTTCTGATGGTCTCCCATCTAAATGCTGGACCTAATGCTGGTTAGCTTTTTTTTTTCAGCTCTGCCAAGGTTGGTTAGCATCTACCTCTAGCTATGGTCTCAAAATTATTACCAGGTCCAGATGGATATTTTAATTATGATAGTTCAGGGGGAATGCAATGCGAAATCGGTGACTAGAAAATAATTAATATTAATTCAACATAAATGTAAATCAAACCAAATTTAGGTTATTTTTTTTTAATGCTCTGATTTCCTGATGCTCATTCTCTGAGCACAGAATAGAAAATTGAGCTGAGCAACAAATGAGTGATTATCCAAATGGAATGAAGGGCTGCTTTAATCACAACATTGGTGACTACATCAGCTTCTCTTTCCAATTGCAAATACAGTAAGGGACATATAGGACACCAAGAAAAACCAACATATAGAGGGTGAGTGTCAATTTTGATCAAGAGGACCATTTTCTCCTGTGTTGTAGCCTCCTATGCTCCTTAAAACTAATTCATGGAGTATCCCAATCTCACAAAATAGTATTGGACTGGGGTGAGACACTGAAAAAGAGGGGGCAAACAATGTCATTTTGTTGGCAGTCAGACATCACTGAACAAAACTACAGGTAATCCTCGACTTACAACCACAATTTAGCCCAGAATTTATGTTGCTAAATCGAGGACTACCTGTGCATGTGGATCAGTCAGAAACCCCATCAACATCTTGATTTCATCCACGATGATCTTGTAATGCGTTCTGCGTTTTTCAATTTATATGGGCTACTGATGGGTAAATCTTACATGGCTGTTGATTGTAAATCTTACATGGCTACTGATTGGTTTGTATATAGCTGGGCTGTGAAACAACTGCAGATAAACAATTTCTTGCTTGGTTCCATGTTTTACCATATCACAACCAATACCTTGAATTGAATCACCTTATAGTATTTTCTCCTGAAGTCAAGATTCCCTGGACATCACCTGCAAAATTCATACTACCCCAACTAACAATTCTTCCAAATTTCATGAATCATTATGTCGCATAAGGAACTGCAAAAGGCATAATATCCAAAAGTGTACACTTACTTCGTTTTTCAAAGAGAATGGCCCCTGCTTTTCTGAGCACAGCCGCTGTTTTAGTATTGTCGCCCAGCGTAATGCATTGCTGCTCTTTCGCTGTAAATAGAAACGCCCTGTGGAAACGGCAGAGAAGAGGGACGCTGTCACTTTTAAGTGTTGGTTTGCATTTTATTTAGAAGCATAATTTGCCCAGTTTGGAGGCACATTCCAACTTACCATAAAAATAACAGAAATAAAATACACAAAAAGCAAAAGAATGTCGACAATCGTAACACAGCAGCATTAAACCTAACCTAGATCAGATAAACTCCTCTTCTTCTGTATCCCTTATACCTTCACTAAATCTACTTGGAAATCTAGATTTAGAGCAGAGGAAGAATTGCTAAGGAGCAAAAGAATCTCCTCCTTTTGCTGGTTCAAGCTGTGATGGAGGAGATAGTTGGATCCAGTCCTAATGGAGTAGCAGATTAAATGCCAATACTTAATGTATAATTCTGAGGATTCATTTACTAATTTTTACTAAAGCGGTACCTGAAAAAGAAGAGCCATATTTAAAAAGTCATGAGATTGTTATTATGTCAAAACATAGTTGCATGGTGGTATCTACTACCAGAAACCAATCACAATTCAATATAAAAATCACAAGGGTCCTTAATACAGGTAGCCCCCAATTTACAATCATTAATTTAGTAACCATTCAAAGGTACACCAGCACTGAAAAAAGTGGCTTATGACTTTTTCACACTTAGGACCATTGCAGCATCCGCATGATCACATGATCAAAATTCAGCCGCTTGGCAACTGACATGTATTTATGACGGTTGCAGTGTCCCAGAATCATGAGATCCTTTTTTGCGGCCTTTTGACCAGCAAAGTCAATGGGGAAGACCGATTCACTTAACAACCATGTTACTAACTTAACAACTATGGCAATAAAGGTCGTAAAATGGGGCAAAACTCACTTAACAACTATCATTAGTCTCTAAAGGAGATTTCAGATAATCAGCAACAATCAAAACATTCGAGCAACTTTCATGAAATACTATGATTACCTGCAGGTAAATGCTGTTTCAGTTTCACATTTCAAACCACAAGCTGTTTTAGTTAAAGTTCTATAGGTGATGGATTCTTGACTAATGATCCAAGCACCATCTGTTCTTACATAACCATCCAGAATATCTCCTTGAACTGAAAGGAAAAAAAAGTGAGACGAGTTGAGATAGTAAAAACACCAAACACATACTTTTCACCGGATGACAAGCTTCCTTCTTCTACATACAGGGAAGTATATATACCAGAATGCAAAGTCTGCAGATTGCCTGAATATGTAAGAATTACATTAGTGCAGAGGGTTAAATTAACACTCGGGAAAAACTTTATTCATTCCAATGGCGAAAGAAATTTCACCAAAAGTTATTATATGGTGATCTGAGTAGCAGAATAAGAGTGCTTGTGAGAGGGTGACATTCCTGGAACTGGAATCATGGCCCCAGAAGTAGAATAACATGGCAGCAGATGAACATATGATCCCCCAAGCAAGGGATGATAAATATGCAAATGGAATGACAATTCCTAGGTTTCTTATGAAAATGACAGAGTAGGACTACAGTGAATGGAATGATTACAGCAAAGGAAGACCCTGAGATTATGCCCCATTTTTCTGTAGTACTTGATATGGAACTCTTCTAAACAATTCTGCTGGTTTTATAAGTGTGTCTATTGAGATAAACTCACTACCAGGGAAGCACCCAGTTAGATAAAAAAAAAATTGCCTCGGGTACCAAATAAGTATATGTATATTTACGAGAGAAATAATGCCAGCACACCCTTTCTTATCTTGTTTAGTTTTGGTTTAACTCGCCTTTATTATTTTTATAAATAACTCAAGGTGGTGAACATACCAACACTCCTTCCTCCTCCTATTTCCCCCACAAAAAAAAACCCTGCAAGGTGAGTTGGGCTGAGAGTGAATGACAGGCCCAAAGCCCCCCAGCCCCTTTCATGCTTAAGGCAGTACTAGAACTCCCAGTGTCCTGTTTTCTAGCATGGTGCCTTAACCACTAGACCAAACTGGCTCTCTTCTTGAGTTCCTTGCACTTCCTTATGTAGTTATCTCTGTGTTTTGAAGAAGCAACCGTATTTAGATGCCGTCTCTTCTGAAAGCCAGCTGCTGCCTTAGGTGAAGTGAGGGGCACTCTATCTCCTTTACAAGAGTCTTGATAATCTTCACTTTTCAGGCCAGGAGATAAAATGGGGAAGAGACCACAAACCATCTTTTTCAAGGCAGTTCCTCAAAGTTGTGCCATCATCAGGCTCATTGCTAACTTTTTGTCCCAAGAGCATTTTCATAAATTTATCCAAGCGGAAAAGTAGAGATTGCGAGATTCTGAGTCCTAGTATGCTATTGTTTGTTTCACTGTTAAGTGTACTTTGCAAAATCAAGTCCTTTCTCCACTGGCTTGATTTTGGCTACGTTTTAAGCAATGTCTCCAGTAAACCTTATGCAATTGCAAACTGTTGAGCCATTGTTGAGCCAAATAAAAGGTCACCTTAGGGAAATTAATATTTGTTTTGTTTCTACCTTTCTTCTCTGGTGGAACTTGGGTATGAATGATATGTCTTAGGCAGTTTCTATTTAAGCAGAAGAAGGCCTAGGTCTTAATAGCTTAGAAGAACAAAACTGTTGCTTATTTCCAGCCTCCAGGATCCTCCTTATCCATTCCTGTTGCTAATGGACTTCAGCACCTGACACTGTAGTGAATTGGTGATTGGAAGCTACTGATACCGGAGAGAAAAAAACCTAAGTGATAGAAACCTTGTCCATCTGGAATATTTAACAATCTGCTAAATAAAGTCAAAACACAATGATGGTGACTTGAAAATTATCGTATAATGGAAGTTCTAGCTTCTTTCTGGCTTAGGATGAAGAACGGCTCTAATGGCCATTAAAATAGCTGCTGAATTACTGAAGTCACATGTTCCTGCTGTCAGCTTTGTTGTATTCAAAAGCATTTTAAGTCCTTTTTAAGAAAGTATTGTCTAGTAGAAAACTTACCTAGAACGTGTTTGTAATATGAAACATCCTTAGCTTGTGCCTTTTCTGCAACAATTTGCATTTTTTGACAAAAGAGGGAATTGCCCCCACCATTAATTAAATCTAGCCCTGTAACCTGCCTGCCCAGTAACATTATTTTTAAACAACCCAGAGACATGTAGAGGAAAAGAAGAGGAATATAATCCAAGAGTAATAAATATTAATAGAAGATGCAATACGATATATGATATTAAATTTTCATAGACAATATGATACGTATGCTCGCTTTATATGAGTGGTTCCTAGATTACTGAACATTACATAGCATACAGGACACAATTTGCAAACTTTTAGGTACAGAAAATCTCATATCTCATTTTACATTAAATTGGGCAGTCAGTCGATTTCTCTTAGCACCATTAGTTCCTGGGACTGTAAAACATTTAGCAAAATCAGATCTCATTGTAATGTAAGGTTTTAGAAACAGAAATGCAATTATTTAGTATTTTATATATAAAGTTAGTAACATCAAGCATTTATCCAGTGTATGCCCATTCAAACTTCCAACGTCAAGTCCAACATTCATTAAATATGATAATATTTCTGAGAGTTCTATTATCTCAATTCTTCTGAAAAGCAGGAAAAAAGAAACATACCTGTGTAGAGAAAGAAAACTAATCCAAAAATATATTTGCAGCACTTCATTTTGGGACAGGCAAGTTGTGTGCTGAGAGCTGTGTGTGTCTGCGGACAAAGTTTTATTGACTTAGTTTAGTTAGACAAGCCTCAAGCAAAGGAGATTAGCCAAATTGGGTTAAATATTCTCTCAGTACTTTGGTCCTTTCTTGTCTGGATGAAATGTTCAAACATTACCTTGAATTTATGATCTTACAAAATAACATCTAAATGTTTGAATTGATGAAACAGAAAGGTAGATATTTCCCTAGATTTATTATTTTGAAATTCTCCTTTACTTAATCAAAAATGAAGTATTATTAAGAAATATAGGTAGATAGACAGACTGGATAGGATAGGACACGATAGGATAGAACAGGACAGGACAGGTAGAGTGGGAGGGAAGGAGAGGAATATGAGTTGCTTAGCTAAATTCATATACAGATTCTTGCAACCATTTTCAAGATATGGCACTGATGGGAAATTCTAACTCAGGCTGATTTCTAGCTATTATAGGATGTATTTTTGGGTTGTGTACATCTGAAGTTATGCACTGGATTTAACTTTTGGATATATAATAATAATGATGATGATGATGATGATGATGATGATGATGATGATGATGATGATGATGATGATGATGTTGGAAGGGACCTTGGAGGTCATCGAGTCCAACCCCCTGCTCAGGCAGGAAACCCTACATGAGTAAATATCACCACAAGGTTGGAAATCTGCCTTTCAAATGACAGAGCTTTAAATATTAACTTCGGCTCCATTTATGCGTATAGATTTCTTGCTCTAGCCAATACTCAATAATATTGTCATCTGGTAAAACATAAGGTAGGAATCAGGTATTTGGGGTATTTGTAGTGTTACATTCAGTTCCTAGTACAGAAAAGATTAAATCATGATTATTAACCATTGTTGAAATTCTTCCTTTAAGAAAGCCTATGTTAGTGATGGCGAACCTTTTAGAGATCCAGTGCCCAAACTGCAACCCAAAACCCACTTATTTATCACCGGGTGCCGGGTGGGCGTGGCCGCGGTGGTCATGGCAGAATGGGTGGGCGGGGCCAGGGCGGCGGGGCCAGGGCGGCGGGGGCCAGTCCCTGGCCATCTCCGGGGCACAGCATGCGTGCCCACAGAGAGAGCTCTGAGTGCCACCTCTGGCATGCGTGCCATAGGTTTGCCACCACTGGCCTATGTATTCCCATAGCATCTTTTTGACTAAACATATAACTAATCCTTCTTAATAATCAAAACTTGGTTTTCAATCCCAGTGTAATCCTGAACATTCCATTAGAGAGAAGTCCAAAAGCTTAGAAGACTAAACTTCTAGTCCCAGTGACCGACTCAGGTTGGATCCTGCAACATTATCCTGGGACACGTATATTTGCCTTCATTCGTAATCCTAAACTCACTAAGTATAAGATTTTCTCTAAATGGGCAAGTTGTATAGATAACTGGGAAAGGATTAACCTTGCTAGAGCAGAAGAGATTGGAATACTTTACAGAATACTCAGAGTAACAGAGTTGGAAGGGACCTTGGAGGTCTTCTAGTCCAACCCCCTGCTCAGGCAGGAAACCCTATACCATTTAAGACAAATCATTGTCCAATCTCTTCTTTAAAACTTCCAATGTTGGAGCAATCACAACTTCTGGAGTCAAGTCGTCCCACTGATTAATTGTTCCAATTATCAAGAAATTTCTCTTAGTTCTAGGTTGTTTCTCTTCTTGATTAGTTTCCATCCATTGCTTCTTGTCCTGTCTTCGGGTGCTTTGGCAAATAGATTGACTCCTTCTTCTTTGTGGCAACCCCTTAGATATTGGAACACTGCTAACCCCTACTCCTTATTTTTATTAAACTAGACATACCCAAATCCTGCAACCGTTCTTTATATGTTTTAGACTCCAGTCCCCTAATCATCTTTATTGCTCTTGTCTGCTAGCTTCTTTCTATGGCCTCTTTGCATGCTGTCTTTTTATTTAACAACATGACAATCTTCATCTGGAGGCTGGAACTACTAAGATGCTGACAGTGCACTGCATGTTAAGGATGCTTTGGCTTGAAAATAGGAAGGAGCTCCTACTAATGCTGCTTCCTTCTTATCATGTATGTTGACTGAATCTCATCATCTTTGTGGACCTATTGATCTAGTCATGTTTGCCCTCTTTGATACACTCAGAAGTTTACCTGGAACAGTGTGTTTGTTGGAGATAACTCAGCGCTGGCTCTTTAGTTAGCATAGTGGTTAAATTGTAATCAGCTGCAGAACACATTTAAGTAGCAGTGTACCACTGAAGGTTTCCTCTCAGTGACCACACGTTACCTACTAGCATAGAAATCATTTTGGTTAATGCTTTTGTCTGTAAATTTAGGTCATTCTTGAATGTTGGGGGAAGTCCCAAAATTACAACTCTGAAATCATTGACAAAATTATTTACAAAACTCAGAAGGCAAGAAGTGATAATTGGACAAAGGCCAAACTACCAGAGGCTTACCAAAGACTGATAGGCAAGTTTTTTAAATGCTAGGTCAATGGTGAACAAGTCTCCTGATCATTCCTGTTCATCTTTTTCTGAAGCTGTTCCCATGTGAATCCCATCACTGGACAAAATGCTTGAATTTGACCAGAGTAGAATAAAATGGAACAATTACTTTCTGCAGTTTAAAATTATATTTCTGATAATGGATGGATGATCCCAAAGATGGAAATTCTTTGCTGCCACCATATGCTGATGACTCATGCTCCGTTTGCAATCAACTATTAACCCAAGGCCTGTTTTATGCATATTATTGCCAAGCCAAGGATCCCCAATGATTTCAGTGTCCTAAGTGAATAATTTTGTATTTGTCTGGTACATTTTGTTCTGTTGACTTCGAGTTTTATTTCTGACTAAACCACCCACTTTTATTATTTGCAAGTTTGAGATGCATTCCCTCCCTGTTTCATCCCAACTATTAATAAAAAAGCGAAGGAGTTCAGAGGCAAGGATTGGATTTTGTGGAAGTCCACTATTCTCTCCATCTTTTCCATTTGCTTAAGGATGGATTTTCCTGCAGCTTGATATCTGCATTAACACACAATCTGCTAGTCCTTGAGAAGGTAGAAAAGTATACCGATCTAAAATTTGCTGTCCCAATTAGCCAAATTCTATTCTAACTTCAGAAATAAGGCTGGCAAGTGGTGCTATCCTTAAAGGTATTAATACAGGATAAATTAACAAAAGAGACTGGTAGATTCTCCTAGGATTCATTTTCCCTTCTCACCAAGCATTACTTGCCAATTGGAAAAGTAATCTCCAATTCCTCACCTTCGTGGGGAAGGGAGAAGAGGCAGGAATAGTTTGAGAGGGGCAAATAAAGGCAGATCCATAGGATGGCTGATTTAGGAACCCTCAAAGATTCTTTAGACTAAGAAATACAAAGCGGGAAGGGAAGATCAGGAGAAAGAGCCAGCATTGTTGCAGTGGGGGACGGGGGTGTCTGAGGTGATACCGATGATTGTCTCTCACTTGTCTGTCCTTTCGGTGCAGCTGGCTGCAGTGAAAAAGTCTTGGGGTGGCTTATGTGGGTCCAAGGAGGGCAAGATGGCTGGCAAAGGGAACCCAGGAAACAAAAGGCTACCTCTCTCCATCTTTGGTCTTTCTTCTATTCAGGAATGGAGGGAATGTAGCCTGCCAGTTCTAGGTGAAATCCAAGATATATTGGGGAGATGAGTGAAGCCAAGTCACAAAGCACCCTCGCTGATAGCTGACCAGAGACTATTAAGGGACAACCCATGTCAAGAACGCAGTTGTGAGGCCTGCCTGGTTCAGCGACCTGCCAGCCACATTTCCTCCATAGTCCAGTGAACCCAATGCACTTGCTCACCTGGGCATTAATTAAGCATATCTATGGGGCTTTGCAGTCAGCAGTAGGCTTGTTTGGCACTGCACTCAATGGCTCTTGCTTCCAAGAAAGGACAGGCTGCCTAAGGCTGCATTCTGTTACATGTTTATTTAGCAATAAACTTGGTAAAAGAACTGAAGCTGCCTGATCCGTAGGTGTTTTCCTTCCCCTCACACAACTGTTGCCAACAATATGTGAATGTGTCACCTTGTCACCCACAACTTCTCCCTTTCCCTCACTCTTACAAACAGATATGCAGAATACAGGTGTGTTTGTGGCAATTTACGGGAGAGTTTTCTCTGTCTCTCTAAATCCCCTGATGCTTATTTGCTGCATCAAAGAAGAAAACTGGGTAGGGATTTCTAGTTCAAGCTTTTTTCCATCTTTAGCTTCAGCGTTGTGAGCTGTTTCTTTTCCTGGTATCACTTGATTCCTCAGAAACATCCTTTTCTACTTCTTTCAGCGCCTTGGCTAAAGAATTGTAGTCTTCTGCAGGATTGTACAAGCAAGGAAATGGAAAGCGTTTGCAGATTGCTGGGAGTGTCTTCTTCACCCAGAAACAAAATCAAGGAGAAGTGTTACAGAATAACAGAATATAGACATGGAAGGGACCTTGGAGATCTTCTAGTCCAATCCGCTGCTCAAGCAGGAGACTTCATACCATCCATTCAGAGAAGTGGATGTCCAGTCTCTTCTTAAAAATCTCCAGAGATGGAGCACACACAGCTTCTGAGGGAAAGGTGTTCCATTGGTTAATTGTTCTCATTCTTGGGACATTTCTCCTTAGTTCTAGGTTGCTTGTCTCCTGGATTTGTTTCCATCCATTGTTTCTTGTCTTGCCTTCTGGTGCTTCTTGGATTTCTTTCTCACCTCTTCTTCTTTCCCATTGTTTAGTTAATGCTTCTTGCATTCCTTCTTCAAGGTCACCTCTGTTATTCTTGTGCAGTAAATGCCTCCATAGAGGCTAGGCCTTTCCTGATCTATTAGGAGGGAATATGGTAGAGAAAATATATTAAAAATATGTCTATGAGGAGAAGTTGAAATAGTGACTTCAGTTACACCTTCAGCTCAAGATACCCCACAGGCTTGATGCTGTGAGGAAAAGTAGGAGGAAGGAGCGTTACATGTGCTGTCTTGA